TTGGAAGAAGAGAGCTTCTGTACCATTTAATCCTGCTCACTACAGGAATTCATTAAACCATTCCCAAGAAATCTATGTAGAGCACAAAGAATTTTGCAGTGGCTAAATGGGGGAGGCTATTGTAAATTAAGAACAGGCGTGTCTAAATTTCGGCTTGCCTGGGCCGCATTGAGTGAACAGGAATTGTCTTGGGCCAGACATAAAATATATAGTATAGATAATGTACAAAAATAACCAACTTTATTTTTTGAGGTCTTACAGGGTTGTTCAGGGTCTCATGCAGCCTATGGGCCATAGGTTGAACATGCCTGGCCTAGAAGAACATTGGTTTCTTGGTCATTTTTCAGAGATAGACTTACCTACATCTCATTGTAGCTCAGAAAGTTACTAGTCCATGAAAAGTTGTGTCTGGCCTCGAAGATAACTTTTCAGTTGGTGGAGATATGTAATCAGGTTTTAGAAAACTTCACTGGAAATGGCCTGTTGCCAAGCACAATTTGAAAAAAAAAAACTAGTGCTTCTTTTTAATATGCTGCATAGCTTGGGGCATGGAGGAATTTGGTATTCGGAGGATTTTTTTGATGAAGACATTAGATGGTGATGAAGCAAGACAACTTCTAACTTCAGTATAATTTTATTTAATTTAAATTAAAAGTCTACATGACTTAAGGCTGTTAAGGGACTGCTTCTTGTGTTATGAAACCTGTTGGGGTGTTAAAATCTGCAGAATAAGCCTTTTTGAAGGATTTTGCTGCGGTCAAGTTCCGTTCCTCTGGAAAATGAGAGAAGGCCTCTTTTCTGCATTGCTCCTAGACTTACAATACCCTCTCTTGGAAATCAGGGTTGACCTCTCCTTAAATTAGATGCATCTTTTTTACTGGGCTTTTAATCATTAAATTATTTTATGTCTGGCGTTAATTAAGTACTGTACACTTAACATTAAATCCTTTTTGAGTTTTTAAAAAAAGTTTGTTAGTACTTGCAGCTAGAAAGTAGGAAGACTATAAAAACCAACAAAATGTAACTTAAATTAATTAATTTAAATTAATTAAATACAATATTGTTCCATATACAGAGTGGTCTCATTCAGACCTATTGAAATCAGTTTGGAAGCAACTTTTGGAAAACCTCTGAAGCCACACATAAAACCTTGGAGGAAGGATTTTAGCTCTGGAAGAGCTTTGCCTAGTCTCTACAAAATATCTTAAGACTATAGAGCAATAAATGAGTTGTGATTGCTTTTAGCAGTATTTTTATTGCTTTATCAGTATTGTATTTTATGATCATATTTGTCAGGCGGAATTTTCATAGTATAACTTTATAAGATTTTAAAAAATGCTCCTCAAGAGTGATATTTCGTATATTTGATTTTGCTACCACTTCTGATTTTGTCCAAACTGATATTCTCAGAGCCATTTCGGATTCCATCATTACCTAATGAAAAGGCAAACAAAAGCTAGGGTGTATGTATTTTGTTTCCCAAATTTAGCCCTGTACACTGTTTTTTCAGTGTATTTTTGTTGGCTTCTTAAATCCGTATGGAAATTTCTATTCCTCAGCATATTGCTCTACATTTCTTATTGAAAGGTGAATAAGATACCTGATCTTGTCAGGAATTGATTATATCCCCAGTGATTCCTAATTATTGATCATCCTAGCTGTGGCAGATGGGATTCTGGATTCAACATCATTTGGACAGCTATAGATTTTCGACTTCTGAACCATGGTTTTAATGCAAAGTAGATTATGCCTTAAGGCTTACTTGGATGTCCTGAAATTAGAAATTATGCAGAAATTTGTAACTCAAATCTCCATTTCCCATTAGAAAGTTTTTCCGAGGATGGTCAAAATGAATGTTAACTTTTAAACAGATAAAAAGTACCCTTCATTTGTGCAGAATCTCTTTTTGAAAGTCACATTTGTTTATGGTGAAAGTATGCTATGCAAATAAACACATAATAAATATTCGTTAGGAAAGATCTATTAGTTTATATAATAGTAAACCAGACTGAGTGCAATGAAATGGAATTACTTGTATGAGCTGTTTAAAACTCTTGCCACAAACTTTATCTTCTATATGCAGATAGGACAAGAACATAAAGTGAAAACCTCATAAAAACCCAAGTAAATTACTAATCCACAGAAGCATTTGTGCTGTAAACATGTCTGGAGTTGTAAGAGCCCTATAAAAGAAGACAAACATCTGAAGAACTTAATTATATGTGCAAAAGGGAGGAAAGGGTTCATTCCGAGATACTGTGTTGGATGTAAATTAATGTGAAACAATAATTAGCTTTGCAGTAAAGCCTGTACCCAATCTACAATATATGCACATTTTTAAAATGGATTTACGGTTGCAGCTTCTTCACTCTGAGTAAGTTGGTTGAAATGCAGCAGTAATTCACTAAGCATTTCTGAGGCACAGTCTCTGAAACAGGCCATGATACTCTGGTCCTTTAGGCAGAGCAACAATTCTGTCTTTCTTTACTACCAGTACTTATAATAAAGGGCACTTAAGACTAAAAAAGTCACTCGGGCACTTAAGATAAAAATGTCACCCTCTCTGGTAACAAACATGCAAGTGAAGGGTAAATAATGTAAGATTTGCTGCTCTTCTATGGCATCCCCAAATCCATAGTCTCAATTTGATATCAGGGTGGTCTACGCGATCGCTACTTATTTTGCCCTTGGCAAAGTCATGTTGGTCTAGGACAGTGGTGGCGAACCTATGGCACGGGTGCCAGAGGCGGCACTCAGAGCCCTCTCTGTGGGCGCGCGCGCTGTCACCCCAGTCCTAGGCCTTCAGCTGGATTTTATAAAACCTTTTCACTTTAGGCCCCCGCTTCCGTGTACAAAAAAAAAGGTTCAATCAATCAATCAATTTCAACTTCTCGCGGGGAAAAAAAAGATCTTGCAAAGTTGGAATTGATTGATTGAATTTTTTAGTCCCACCCAATCTGCTGTTACCGCCGCAGCCACGCCCACCCAATGGGCCACACCTACCCAATGGGCCACACCCACCCAGTACCCGATGATGCATAAGTGGGTTTTGGGTTGCAGTTTGGGCACTCGGTCTCTAAAAGGTTAGCCATCCCTGGTCTAGGAAGAACTACAATGAAGTTTCAAAGCATTTAAAAATATTTATTCATACTGCATCTTTTTCTGAAGATACTTTTGGTTCATAGGCTTTTTTACATCACATGAGTTCAGAAACATAGCCGTTCTGAAATGAAATACTTTAAAGGTGAAAAGAAACAGGAAAGTTAAGAGCATATGGCAAAAAGAGTCATCAACATCCTGTTACAGACACAACCACAAATATCTTCCAAATTACAGCAGAATAACGTGTATCTCTGGGTAAATTTCCCCCAAATTAAGTGGGCAACCTGTACAAACAGGTTATGTACCATGGTCCTCAGTGAATGAATTCTAGTATAAATACTAGTGCAGCTGGTCCCAATATTATATACTCCAGATATGTTTCAATGCAACTCCCATTATTCCAGCCAGGAACCCTTTAGGAAAAATGATTTACTGCCCTGTCTATGTTATAATCTACAGATATAATAAGGGCAGAAATGGATTGGCCTATTATATCTCTCTTAATCCAAATGCTGGATTCGTCTGTAGCAACAACTTCAACCAGACGTTCAGGTGAAACAGAAGACGAGACTTAACAGAATTATACTATTCCATTGTTTGCTCAACAGCTGGTGGAAATGGTACAGATAAACTAACAGGATTCTGCATGTATTCAGTTGGATAGATGCCATATTTCTTGGCTTATTACCTCATAAAGCCATAAAGCAAGGCAACTGAGGATATTTTACCTCGTTTTCCCTCCACTTAAAATTTAGGACTTGGACACACACAAGCACATCAACATGCATACATACATACATACATACATACATAGGGCAGCAATTCTGTGAAATACAGGGACAAGAAAATGAACCATTGGGAAAATATCTCACATATACAAATTAGAGAGAAAGAGTGTGCTCAGCCTCTTTTCATCTCCAAAATTACTATTATGGAGGACAGGTTTCAGCTTAAACATACATTCCTTGTCTCTAGGATCAGATTCTCCATACAGTTCTTCCATTGTAGAATACAGAATAAAGCCTCCTTTTACCCTCTAAGGCAGCTTCTACATATCCAATTGTATTAACAAGACCCCTAGAGCAGGGGTGTTCAATTTTGGCAACTTTAAGACCTGTGGACTTCAACTCACAGAATTACATGGCCGGCTGAGGAATTCTGGGAGTTGCCGTCCAATAGGTCTAAAAGTTGCCAAGGTTGGACACTCCTGTCGAAGAGGGTATTAAACTGCAAAAGACTGCTGTGAACAACTATCAAGGCAAAATGGCTGTATTTTAGCTGACCAAACAATCTTTCTTTCATTTTCTCTCTTTCCCCCCAAGATTATTCTCTCCCTGTCTCATCTGGTGCTAAACTTCTATTTTTGGTGCCATGTGAATGAACTTACAGTAATTGCAATCACAGCCAGTTCTCAAGGGAAACATTAAAGGAGTCATTTTAGCTCCCTGGCCCAAATTTTCGTTATGTAACCTGCCATTAGGAGTTCTAGCACAAAGTAGATCACTTAATGAGAGACTACCTGTAAATATATATATGAAAGGGGAAGAGGGAGGAGAAGGGGTAATGGTAAAAATGTTCTGTGGAGAATCCAAGTTCCTGAGATTTTTCCTCCATAAAATAGCCCAAAACATGTCAGGCATAATTTAAGATGAATATACTGTATATTCGCCACCCAAATGGCTGACATCTCTAAATGCTGTACCTGTTATTTAACAAAGGAAGCCTATTTCAATATAGCCCTCTTCTAGACAAATAATTTAAAAAATAATTAGGGAATTTATAGCCTTAATAGGAGAGAGCTTTTTTTTATAAGGAACGTCTCCCCAAACTTAAATTATAGTAGCACATATTGTGAGTAAAAAATATTTTGTCACAGCAGAGGGAAAGAATCTGAGAAAGATAAAAAAGAAGCTATCGATTTTCAAGGCAAAATTAAGGCAATTTAGTCAGAGTCTTCATCATCAAGATAGTCTTCTGCGTTGCTTAATGTTCGCATTATGTCTATAAAAAAAAGGAAACAAATATAAAATGGTCAGTTTTCAGCTAGGCCGATCATTTTAGAATGTATCTCCCTTTATTCCAACTTCTGGTTAAACTACATTTTTCACATTTCAAATACAACTCTATATTCTTAGAATAATTATATTTCAAGCATTCTCCCTGCTTGTTTTTAATACTTTACTTGAAGATTATGTTATATATTTTTATATGGTTTTAAAAGCTTTCTATATGTTTTGATATTGTATTCTGGGTTTTTTGTCTTGTTTTTAATTGCAATCCACTCAGAATTATGTACTTGAGATGAGCAGCTATATAAAATGAATGAATGAATGAATGAATGAATGAATGAATGAATGAATGAATGAATGAATGAATGAATGAATGAAGAGTTGGCATTAAGTCTATCAAGGCTTTTACAGGTTGTACACCTTTTTCCTCCTCAGAGCATTTCATATATTTTTGAGGGGGGGGGAAAAGAAAGATGAACTATTCCTGTATTCACAGAACAGCCATTAACCCAATCATACCTTCTTGGCAGTAGTTGTAGCACACAATCACAATCACCCACACCAGTCAAAAGTTTACATTTTGGGGAATGAAGTACCATCACTTGCTTTCTCCGATCCTGCTTGAGCCTCTGTGCCGTTGACATTATTTACATTCTGTTGTTATGTTGTTGGCCCTTTCCCCATGTCCAGGAAAATAGCAGTTATAACCATCTGTGTTTGGAAATTGGACTCTGTGTTGTGTAGGTTTGAGTAGTGAGGGATGTAATGGAGAGGCTTCTCATTGTCTCCAGGTCTTCTTGGGTAGATAATAGATTGAGTGGAGTTTGGAAACTGCCTAAGAGTTCACTGGTTTGGGGTTCACATGATGACCCTGATTGAGGGAAGGTAATTTAACTCCCACTTCAAATGTCAGGGTCTTTTGGGGCAAGACTAGTTATTTCCTATTCGATTACTGACTGGAATCGGGTATTCCCACAATATGCTACCCCTAGTTAAGAGTATAAATTTAGTGTATTTTCTCTTGGGATAGCCGCTACCTACTGAAGCCTTCAATTGCTTGGAGCAGTTCAATTGTCCTGGGAGAGCCGTAAGTGTAAAAAAAGGTTAAATCTTACCTTGTCCTTGTTTCTTTTTAAGCAAGGAAGCACAGGCAGCGTTGGTAGCCATGTCCAAAGCCAGTTTTTTCTCATTGTTTCTTAAGTCTGTTCTGGCACCTTGATGAAAATAGAAAACAAGACAACACTGTCCTCAGTTTGGACAGAGAAACAAAATTCCTCTTATCTTATTTTTGATTCTTATCTAAAAACTGAACCAGTTTCCTATCAGATCTGAGGTAAGTAGGGCTGTCATCAAAGAAATGAAAAGGTATTATAGAAAGAGACCTCTCTGAGTCAATAAAGAAGCATGACTGATAATATTTTTACTCTTTAACTTAAGTTCAGACTTGGACTGGTGTCAGTTATGTTATGTTATGTTATGTTATGTTATGTTATGTTATGTTATGTTATGTTATGTTATGTTGCGTTGCGTTGCGTTGCGTTGCGTTACATTACGTTAAACCATAACTAGGCTGTGTGGCCTTGCATGGGGAACACAGAGGCCCACACAGCCCTGGGAATGGTTGGCCCCATTGGAAACTCCGCCCTCACAACTCTTAATTCCCTCATTTTCGAACTCTCCATCTTTTGCAATTTTATAATGTTGTTTTACATTTTTACATTTTAATCTTAAATTATTCAGTTTCCAATGTTTGATTGTACTGATTAAATTGTACCCTCCTAGAGCCCCTCTGTGAGGGAGATGAGAGGCTAAAAAGTTTGATTGATAGATAAACAAACAAACAAACAAATTGATTTCCCTAATTTTGGCTTAGCGTCTTGTGAGAACCCAGTCACTATGGGTTTGTAAACCATGGTTTATAATTATCAGGCTGCATGAACTCAGCCACTTGTGATTTATTCGATAGACTGCAGTAAATCCAAATGTTTTGCAGAGTGAGGGATCCTGCCTGAGTTTCAAAATCATAGATTGGTACCTAGGTAAAACAATCCTTCACAGCATTTTATCTGATCCTTATTTATATACACACAATGTATCGAAGGTCTAAAGGAGGGGAGTCCAACCAGGGCAGCTTTAAGGCCTGTGAACCTCAACTCCCCAAGGGCTGGCTGGGGAATTATAAGGATCAGATGAAATGCTGAGAAGGATTGTTTTACCTAGATACCAACCCGTGTTTCTGAAACTCAGGCAGGATCCCTCACTTTGCAAAGCATTTGGATTTACTGCAATCTGTTGAATAAATCACAAGCGGCTGGGTTCATGCAGCCTGGTAATTATAAACCATGGTTTACAAACTCATAATGACTGCGTTCTCAAAAGACGCTAAGCCAAAATTAGGAAAATCAATTTGTTTGTTTGTTTGTTTGTTTATCTATCAATCAAACTTTTTAGCCTCTCATCCCCCTCACAGAGGGGCTCCAGGAGGGTACAATTTAATCAATACAATCAAACATTAGAAACTGAATAATTTAAGATTAAAGTGTAAAACAACATTATAAAATTGCAAAATATGGATAGTTCCAAAATGAGGGAACTAAAGTTTAACCCGGGTGTAAAATAAGCCTTAATAACAATGGCATAATTTCACGCTCAAACTTTTGAAATGTAAATGCAGAATATCCTGTGCTTCTTCACAACATTTTTAAATTATTAAGAATTAGGCAAACAGATTTGGATGGCTGCAGGAGAACTGCAACATGCCATAGCCATCTGCAAGCTTCAGACTGTCAAACCAGAATGAAGCAACTTTACAGCAGCACTCTTGTCTGATTCTGTACCTTTATAGATGTGGCCTTCTAAGTAACTGTTTCAAGTCAACTTCCTGCTAGCAGATACTGTGAGATACACAAAGTTTGGTCTTAATTTTACAATGATGTTCTAAAGCAGGGGTCCCCAACCCCACAGTCCATGGACCACGGCATGCCAGCAACCGGTCTGCTCAAACAAGCAAAGCCCCATCCGCGGGATGCAGGCAGCATACAAAACCATGCCCCCTCCAGTCCACGGAAAAACCTCTCTCCACGGAACTGGTCCCTGTTGCCCAAAAGGTTGGGGACCTCTGTTCTAAAGGACCAAAGCAATATCTGACATTAATTTCAGGTTTCACTGAGGATTTCTATCCATGCATATTTCTTTGCTAGTTGATGTTAGGAATCTTCAGGAATAAGTTTCTGTCTTATTGAGAATTTTTCTCAAAATGTGGGGGAAATATGGTTACTCAACTGTATAAAGTGTGTGCTGATATTTAATACAATTGCAGAAAGCTGTATACTATGTACATATCTTGGTTTAATAAAACCATATGTGATTCTTGTGCTAAAGTTGAGTCCTTCCAAATTGGTGGCCATATAAACCACTTTTGATAATCTTCTTCTTTGGTAAAAACCAACAAAGACTTTTCTTTTAGAACAGTAGAGATGATCTTTTAAACCCTGGGTTGATATGTTAGCTTGTTATGAAAATTAACAGTTTCTCTCATTTGGATATAACACACAATTAAGATTCATTATTCTGAATGTTGAATTGCTGTGGGTCAAGAGAGAACAGAGCTTGTATTTTAAGAACACAAATTTCTTGGTAAACAGAGACATTTAACCCCAAATTTGGGTATGTTGAGAAACACAGTACCTTTTCCCAGCAAAATTTCTACGATATCTTCATAACCTTTCCATGCAGCAGCATGCAGAGCTGTGTCTCCCAGTTTATTCTGTGAAAAAAAGAGCAAAACTAACCTTAAAGGTTAGAAAGGAACAGTTTTGATCATTTCAATTGTAACCTACTACATCACTGCAAAGCAGTTCTTGAACGTCACTCAGTGTATCATTCCCTACCTGTTGGTTTAGTTCTACCTTTGGCTGTGTCAATAACACTTCCACGATGTCTACACCAAAATGAAGAAAAAAAAATGGAAAACTTCATGAGAAATTAGGAAAGCCAAGACTTTGAATTAATCAGCAAAAAGGCCCATTTTCTTATTTTTAGATTTGAGAAAATTAACTGGAAAAGGCTCTGATAAAAACTGGAGTCACTAACACAATAAATGAAATGTCTAGGAAGATCATCCTTTGATTTAATTAATATATATATACACATATATATTTTAAAGGGAAAGAAAGTCAAATTGTGCTTCCCAATTCAATATGTGAACAACATTTTTCATTTCTCTAAATTTTGTAATGCAGTCAAAACAGACACCCAAATGTGTGGGTATAATTTACATTAAAAATGTCTCCCTCCCTCCCTCCCTTCTTCTATCTTTTTATCTATGGTATATTTATTAAAGTAAATTCTATGCATAAAATTGAAAATGGCATGAGATAGTACAGGGGTAGGCAACCTTGGCTCTTTTATGACTTGTGGACTTCAACTCCCAGAATTCCTGAGCCAGCCATGCTGAGGGGAAAGGGAGAGGTTTCCAAGCAGAGCCATGCTGGCTCAGGAATTCTGGGAGTTGAAGTCCATGAGTCCTAAAAGAGCCAAGGTTGCCTACCCCTGAGATAGTGAATAGATAAATATTTTTTTAAAATATGTAAGAGATAAAAATACATATGTAAGTAGAAACAAAATGGGTGTGAAACTGTTTTTTTATTTTTGCAAAATGAAGGATGAGATTGGCTTTAATGTTTAAAAAAACAATTAGGTTTGAAATAATTTCTCTACCTTTGTGTCCACCATGAGATGCCCAATACAAGGCAGTGCTTCCAGCTTTATCTAAGCCATTGACACCAACTTTGTTATCCAAACATTCTCTCAACCAGCTCAAGTTTCCTGAAAAAGAAGAAAATATGTATTAAACATTAAACATAATATATCCGGAAACTGGCAGAAAACCAGTTGGAGACTACATCTATCCATTTATAAATATATATAGCAATCCATTTAATTTCTCTCTCTCCCTCTCTATCGCTTATCTATCCACACAAGCACGCCCATGTATATACATACACACACACACACACTCTTCTAGAAGGATGATAATTATATTTTTGGGCATAAAAGGAGGACATACTATAAATCACGTAGATAAAATGTTAAGTATTTTGTGCTTGAAAACAAAAGAATTTATCTGATGGAACCTATATATATATGAATTGTCCATATAATCAACAGAATACTGAATGGATTGAATAATGCTAATGGAGAAGTCAGTTGGGGAAAATAATGCTAATGGAGAAGTCAGTTGGGGAAAAATCATAGCCTTCCAGCACCTATCAGCAGGGCAAAAAATGAGGGCATTTTTCTAGCTTACTGAAACCAGTGACTAAACCATACATAGTTAAGATACATCATTGTGTATGTCATGGAAAAAAGTAGCATTTGTGATATGCCTCCCAAGTCCAGACTACCTATCAATTGGGGATTACTTCATGGCAAAAGGACATTGCCATTGATGACAGACCTCGCAAGACAATCCCTGCATCTTCCAACAGATGAAATGGATTGAGGTATGAGATGGATATACAGTTAGTCCTCGACTTATGACTGCAATTGAGCCTTAAATTTCTGTTGCTAAGTAAGAAAGTTGCTAAGTGAAATTTGTCCCATTTTATGACTTTTCTTGCCACAGTTGTTATGTGAATTTCCGCCATTGTTAAATTAGTAGCACGGCTGTTAAGTGAATCTGGTTTCCCTATTGACTTGCTTGTCAGAAGGTTGCAAAAGTTTATCACACACAAGCCCAGGACACTGCAACCAGCATAAATAATGAGTCAGTTGCCAAGCATCTGAATTTTGATCAATGACCATGGGGATGCTGCCAACAATCATAAGGGTAAAAAACGGCCATAAATTACTTTTTTCACTGCTGCTGTAACTTTCGAAAAGTCGTTGAATAAACTGTTGGACTACAACCTTGGCTCTTTTATGACTCCTGGACTGGCTCAGGAATTCTGGGAGTTGAAGTCCACGAGTCATAAAAGAGCCAAGGTTGCCTATCCCTGGACTACAGTATTAATCAACATCTCTATAAATGTATCTGGAAATAAGTTTCTTAGAGCATATTCCAAATAAAACTGACATATTGGCACTTTCAAATTAATTCCATTCACAAGATCTTTAAACAAATGCAATACCTAGGAGAGTCCCTATTTTGTCTCACTAGTTTATTTTTATCAGGTGTGTGGGTGTTCATGCTAAAAACCTATTAAGGCAAATTCTATTATATCACATCAGTTACTATATCAATTCGTGAAAATAATGAATTAGTCAATACCATACGATAATATCAGAATAGTACTTGTTTCAATCGATATGCTAATAAAAACAGAAAAATAAAGTTAATTGGGTAAAATAAAGCTAGAGAATATATTCCCCTAACCTTTTGACTCTAGTAGGATAAAAAAGACATCTCTGGAATGGATATGTATATCCATCAACCAAAGCTGCATTGCAACAAAGCAACCCAAGAATCACCCCTTTGGTAAGTGCATCCTGATGTCATGTGCATGTACAAGAGGAGTGGAAAATGAGCTGTGATGCATGACACTGCTTTTTGGTCATTTGGACGAAAGCCTCCAATCCGGGATATATTTCCAGATGCTGATGAAAGAAGTTATAGTTCCACACAGCTGGACAGCATCAGGGTTGGACAAAGGTGCATCATAAACATGGGAGCCAAATTATCTGCCCCAAAAGACAGAAGTAACAAAGAAGGGGGGGGGGAGAAAAAGCTTGGTCATTTTTCTTTTGAACACAGAAAAGGATTACAGTAACTTAGATAATCCGATCTCTCTTCCATCTCTCACATTAGACACTTCTCATTCTCATACAGGTTTCCCCTGTCCAGTTGTGTCCAATGTCATCTCTGTTTCCTAGTTGAGGGAGCCAGTGTTGTCTGAAGATGCTTCCATGGTCATGTGGTCGGCATGACTGAATGCCGAGGTGCACGGAACACCGTTATCTTCCCACTGAAGTGGTACCTATTTATCTTGTTGTTGTTGTTAGTTGTGAAGTCATGTCCGACCCATTGCGACCCCATGGACAACATTCCTCCAGGTCTTCCTGTCCTCTACCATCTTCTGGAGTCCATTTAAGCAAGTATCTACTTGCATGCTTTTGAACTGCTAGGTTGACAGGATGTGGGGCCGGAATGGGAGCTCACCCCATCACATGGTACTTGGGTTTTGAACTGCCCATCTTCTGGTCAACAAGCCCAGGGTCTTAACTGCTAGGGCAGTGTAAATTATAGGGGGGGAAATGCACACATTTGTTTCAAGTCAGTCCCCCGCTAAAGCAGCTGGAAAGAAAGAATCAAAAACCTCTGTTGTTAAGAGGAAGCTCACCAACAAAATGTGTGCTTTTAATAAACCCTTACAAATTGATCTACTTCAGCCCAGAAATCAATGAAAAGAGACCAGATGAAGTCCTTGGTCAATATTGACCCTACACCTACCTCTCTTGGCAGCTTCATGTAATGGATTGTCAATGGATTCTGCTTGTTCAGCCACTAAAACAAAAAGAAAAAAAAATACATGCCAATGTAGCCAGTTGTATTCATCTGTCTCTTAATGGGCTGAAGACAATAGCACTAATATATTTTAAAGTCCATCAATAAACTTGAAACTTCTGCCGTTATGTCCCAAAGCTCCACTGAATTTGGAAATCTTTAATGGAGTTCCTTGTATGCAAAAACTATTCACTTCAATGCGAGAAAAATGAACTATACCTGCAGTGGAACTGCACACCCAAAGCACCCATGCTATTGAAAAAAACTGGGAAGGTCCAACTTAAAACCTTGGGTATAATATGACATGTTCATGTGCATACAGAAAATTCTGGTCTGTAGCTTTTTGATTTATCTATGAACATAATATTCGTTATGATAAATTAAAAAGATAAACACATATACACAACTGTACTGTCATCTCTACATAGTCTGACATACAGTTAAAAAAATTTTGATTAAAAAAACCCCAGTGATTGTAGTATACTGCAATAAAAGTGAATACATTTGTATTTAAAACAGGTGTGCAGAGCTTCCTTTGAACTAATGGTCTATGTCAGGGCTTCCCAACCATGGCAATTTTAAGACCCGTGAACTTCAACTCCCAGAATTCTCCCGCCAGCCATGCTGGCTGAGGAATTCTGGGAGTTGAAGTCCACAACTCTTAAAGTTGCCAAGGTTGAGGGCCCCCGACCTAAAGGACTGCCACACAGAAAGCTTTCAAGATCTAGAGTGCTGGTAATAACAGGTCCTACTTTCTAAGTTCCTATAAGTAAGAACAGTTTGAAGATTAAAGCATTTCAAGTGAGAATTCTCAAACTGTTTCTAGTAAGAAACAATATCATATTATAATTTAATGCTGGTATGAGTCAAGAAGCATCCTTTACTCAAACTTGCTTAATTATGATAGTTTCAAGAGTCAAATCAACAAAGAGAGCTTGGATATTGTGAATGACACAACAGAATCATTCTTGAAGCAACTCTTCATAATCTGTCCAAGTTTGTTTCTGAGCTTGATTCTGAATCTAGGACAGGAGTCTTCAAACTTGGCCCTTTTATGACTTGTGGACTTCAACTCCCAGAATTCCTCAGTGAGTGTGCCTTGCTGAGAAATTCTGGGAGTTGAAGTCCACAAGTCATAAAAGGGCCATGTTTGAAGACCCCTGATCTCGGAGATGGTTTGTAGCTGCTGAGAATAAGAAAAATATGAGTATCTTTGCGGCACAAGCAGAATTCATCATCTAACATTTGGATCTCGGCCAAAAGATTCAATGGGCTGTGAACAGTCAGGAATCTTTGATTTCTCAGAAATTCTCATTCAGAGCTACAGTTCACCAGGCCTCCTTTGAGAAGCTCTGTTAATGGGTTCAGAACTTAAGCATGTGTACATGCTTTTTGAGACTGATAATCTCCAAACAAAATGTCTCTTCTGTATTCAACTTTTCAACAGGTCCCCTTTCTGCTCTGATTGTGAATCTTGACTTTTAATATCGCAGAGGACATCCTTAACAAGACTTTGAGATTATAGCAGGGATTTCTATAATGTTGAGACAGTCAAGGGCGCCATGATAAAATGGTTACTACCATCAGAAAACAAATTTTCTAAAGATAAATGGTTGAACTATAAAAAAGTTCAATAATCTAAATTCAAGGAATAAGCTAAGCAAAGCAAAGGCCAAGAAACCTGGCCAAAAGAGTGTAATGTTCTTAATGTATCTTATTGTTCAGAATCTCAGTTTTAATTCTACTCACAGATGTACCTGAAAAGCACATTATTATTTTTAAGGCTAGCCAGATGTTTAGACTGAATTTGGCACTTTTATTCACCTATTGGATCCTTCCCAAGGACCTGGGATAGGCAGATGTTGTTGTCTGATGGTGTTAAAGGATCATTATTTTTATTTTGCTTCCCAACTATCTCTTGGAACACAATTCACGAAATTACCATAGTTGCTGGGGATTAGTCCAGTTCTTCCTTTACAGGTTCCTTTCCACCAATTTGTGTCACTCTGGAGGAAAAAGAAAGAAAGCAGTGCTGAAAAAGGCAACTGGCAGTTCAATAGCCATTTTATTCTCTTAAGGAGAGAGTGGTTTAGTAGCTTTGTTTATCAACTCACCATATCAGAAATGTAGATAATGTCTCCTTCTTCAAAATACAGTTCATCTGGCTGGAGCAATAAATAAATTGCATTAGTTAAAGAACTGACTTAAACTACATTGAAAAGCTTTTGAGTGATCTTATTTGAGTGACAACTTCAATTCCAATCCTTGCATCCCAAATCAAAAATTGCATTTGTGCATCATAGCAAGCATGGTTAAGAGATTCTGTGGCTTGTATGATTAAGCCCTGTCCCTGCAACCCATCTGCCAGCTGGTACATCCTTTTTGGCTTTTTTCCTGGAAAGAAATTGTGCAAAAGTGCTTGGGACTTAACTTTTTTCCCTCTCAGTAGGATTACTGAAAGCTAAATAGAACTAAATTATATTGGGTGAGGTAGTGGGAGACAAGCCAGCAAATGAAATACTGAATTCCAAAAAAGCTTAGATTTGGCTGGGGAAAAAAGAAACCACCCAGTTGTTGAGATACAGGTCCATTCTAAAATGTTACCCCCCCTCCTAGTTACAAGACAGATTTAACAGAAGTACAAAATACAAGAGTTGGGAGGGACTTTGGAGGTCTTCCAGTCCAACCCTCTGCTCAAGCGGGACACCCAGTACTATTTTAGGCAAATGGTTGTCTTATGTCTTCTCTCCAGTGATGGAGCACCCTTAGCTTCTGAAGGCAAGCTGTTCCACTGATTAATTGATTCCATTGTCAGGAAATTTCTCCTTAATTCTAGGCCATTTTCTATTCATTGCTTCTTGTTCTGCCCTCAAGTATTTTGGAGAATAGGTTGACCCCTTCTTTTTTGAGGCAGCCCTTTAGATATTGGAATACTGCAATAAAAGTCACCCCGAGCCCTTCTTTTCATTAAACCCAGAGTGGTGTTATTTTATTTTATTGTATTAATTTTTAATGTATTGCTCCATTTCACATGAACTCATAGAGATGTACAATAAAAAAACAAAATAATTGTAAAAGCCTACTTGCCCTTTGATTCCAAATATGCACACCCATGTCCACTCAATGCCTATATACCCAACCCCCGGTCCGTGGACCAGTACCAGGCCGTGGCATGCCAGGTACTGGTCCACACAAACAAACAAAACCCTTCCGTGGGATGCAGGTAGCACACAAAACCACGTCCCCTCCGGTCTGTGGAACAACCTTTCTCCACAGAACCAGTCCCTGGTGCCCAAAAGGTTGGGTACCTCTGCCGTAGGAGATAACCAGGCTGGGCCCGGGGGAGGGGTCAAATGCATCATCAGTCATGATTCCCTTCGTGACCACAAGAGATCTAAGTCCAGCCCACTTTGAATTCCTTCTATTCTTAACTCCCACTAATTTCCCTTGACTGTTAGTAGTTCAGATTCTCGTACAGATCAAGCTTACAATAAATCTTTACAAACATTTGAACTGCCTGATCTCCTGATTTTCCTGGTTCTTGACATGTACCTAATCCAATCTCATATTTCTAGAAACACATACATGCCCACACATTCCACATATTGAGGCAAGATAATAGTTGTACTCATAATGTAATTACTGTCCTTCCACTTAGGATACAGTAAGAAAATGAGAGTTTTGTTGTCCCCTGCTGCCATCTACTGATTATTGATGGAAAAAATACAGTACAACAGAAGAGTAAAACTTCCTATGAATTAAAATGAAATAGCAAATGCTCCTTATTTTTACTGATCTATAGATGCTGAAGAATGGCTGTGTCATTGTGTTGAAACTGCAACCAAGTACAAGAATGATGCTAATGAGGCGGATTTTGCTGCACAGCTAAGAGCAACCCATAGGAAGAAAGTAATGTAAAGTGCTAGTACCACTTTATACTACACTGGTAAGACCACACTTGGAATACTGCATCCAGTTTTGGTCACCAGATATTGAGCCTCTCGAAAGAGTGCAGAGAAGAGCAACAAAGATGATTAGGGGATTGGAGCAAAAGCATAAAATTAATGGTTGCAGGAATTGGGTATGTCTAGCTTAATGAAAAGAAGGACTGGGGGTGATATGATAGCAGTGTTCCAATATCTAAGGGTCTATCACAAGGAAGAAGGGATCAAACTATTTTTCTAAGCACCTGAAGGCAGGTCAAGAAGAAATGGATGGAAACTAATCAAGGAGAGATTCAACCTAGAACTAAGGAGGAATTTCCTGACAGTTAGAACAATTAATCAATGGAACGACTTGCCTCCAGGAGTTGTGGGTGTTCCAACACTGGACGTTTTCAAGAAGAGATTAGACAGCCCTTCATCCAGAATGTATAGGGCCTCCTGCTTGAGCAGGAGGTTGGACTAGAAGACCTCCAAGGTCCTTCCCAACTCAGTTATTCTAGAGCTGGGAAAGTATGCATAAGTAAGGGATCGAACATATGCACTGCTGTTGTAATCAGAATAAGAAGCCACAGACTTGTGTCATGTGCTAATCAGTCTGCAACTCTCATATCCATCTGAATAAAAACATTTTGAAAGCTGGGCTGCCAAGTACATTCTCAGTCTGCCTTTGAGCCATCCCTAGCCATTCTTTCCCCATCCCCCTCTCGACCATCATTCACATACAGCGAGTAAGAAACCCCACAGTGCCATATAATGACATAACAGAAGTGACTAATGGCTCTCCAATACTATTTGGAGTCTGTTGCGGTATAGATATATCTGTGAGTCTCTTGCATTTTAGATACATAGCAATGGGATTTATAGGGCCAAAGAGGAACAGTATTTTCCCACTCCCAGACTAGTTCCTAGTTCCCTGGTTTTGTAGTGAGAGAGGGGTCAAAAATACTTATTGGTTTTGCAGTTCTCCTTCAAGAGCTTAGACAAAACAAGGAAGCTCTGTGTGCTAATACCAGATTACTGAATCAGATGGAAACTAATCAAAGAGAGAAGCAATCTAGAACTAAGGAGAAATTTCCTGACAGTGAGAACAATTAACCAGTGGAATAACCTGCCTCTCTAAGTTGTGAATTCTCCAACAGTGGAAGTTTTTAAGAAGAGACTGGACAGCCATTTGTCTGAAATGGTATAGGGTTTCTTGCCTGAGCAGGAAGTTGGACTAGATGACCTCCAAGGTCCCTTCCAACTACTATTACTATTACTATTACTATTATTATTATTATTTCTGCCTATTTGCTTATTCCACCAATCTTACAAAATATCTTTTGGGCCAAACCTGACACCCAGAATCAGCAAAGATACTTTTGTCACAGGTATCCATCAGAGAAAACAGCAGAGAAAAATAAAATAAAACAATTATGCTCTCATGCTGCAAATTCTGTTCCTTTTGTATGGGTGTTCTGATGTCACATAGAAATAAGGAATGTTGCAATGCCCAAGCTGTAATTTTGATGAAATGGTCCAATTTTTAGCTTTATTCCTGGTATAATTTCAGCCCTGGTATTATTCAGAGGCCCCCATCCAAGTACTAATCAAGCCTAATACTACTTAGCCTCCAGTTCCAGACAGTATCAGCTAAATGCTGGCCCTGCTGAGATGAAATGATGGAATAACAGCTAAGAGAATATTACCTCTACAATTTATCCAAGGCAGAACAAGGGCTCAGAAAATGTGTACAAGACACTGTAATAAAAGAACAAAACATCTTGCAAGCAAGAGTTGTGTCTTTCATCCCAATACTTTACTGTAATTGATCGGAGCAAACAAGCAGAAGCTAATCTATTCCTGGTCTCCCTAAGGTAGGGGTGTCAAACTGTTGGCCCGCGGGCTGGATGCGTCATGGTGAAACCATGCCCACCCCATTGCCGGCAATGGAAAAAAGTTGCAATACGTCACGACACGTCACATGGCGAGTTTGACACCCCTGCCCTAAGGTGCATCAAAAGTGAGCGATGAGGCTTAGATTCTTTCATAATCCTCTAAATTCCAGATTTCTAAATGTCACGGGTTAAGGCCAAAGACACTGAGTAAAGATAGACATTGGGAAAAACATTGTGAAAAACCAGTTCCAAGACAGGATGTAACTTAGCACAATAGCAGACTGAACTGTCAAATTACAGAAATTGGTTGATTTAAAACATTAACATACCATTCACCATTGCAAAGTTTCAGTGAGGTTACCATAAAATTCAAATCGTGAAAACAGTTAGGTTAAGATCACTGAGGAAATCATACCTCAAAACTTTGTATAAAATCAGAAAATTAATGCAGAGGGAGGAGGTGGACACAACATTGTTTTAAAATATTTTTTTTCTTAATTCTTAGTGGTTAAGAATGCCATTTGCAATCATGAGCCACTTCCTGTCATACTTCTCTCAGCCGTTTTGAACTGTTTGCTCAGGAATGACTGGATCAGTTGGCGGGATTTGCACAATCAAGGCCTAAACCGCATACCAGAATATGATTTAGCAATGAAAAGGCTGAGTTGTCTACTTTAAATTACAAACGACATCCATTTTTACTTAGAAGGCAAGACACAATCTGCAGGACATGTGACTAAGTTCTCAGTAAATATGAATGATGAACAAACAGCAGCTTTAATCTAAAAAAATAAAAATTGGATGATATTTCATCTCCACAGGGGAAATACATACAGTATACTCCTTCCAGTGTTTCATGTTCATAAAAAAAATAGTCTGGAGCAAGTTACCTCTTCATATTCAAATTTTGCTTTTTAACATATTTTGAAAAAGTAGACATATACTTACTGTTCTGGGTTCAAACGTATACAGGGCTCGAAAGACTTTCACCTGCCCTAAAATACAGAAAGAAATAAGCATTAACCAGAGAACATTTCTTCTTTTCCTAAAGCAACTCAAATAGTTGACAGAGTTGAAGTAGACAGTCTGGATTCCTGTTGTTGGTTTTTTCAAATGTTTATTTTCTTCCTTTTTCCTTGTAGTCTTAAACTGCGTGAAACCTATGACTTTCATTTCTTCTTGTCCCAAATTGAAAAAAAAGAACAGCAAATATCTTGAAATACTAGTACAAGTGTGAATCAAGCGTTAATCTGTAAAATGTGCTATTATTTTCACTCCTTTCATCATCATAGAAAACTCATGAGGAAGAAAATTACAGTCCAATTATTTCTGTGTTTTCTTCTGCTTATGTCAACAGGAACCACAAATGATATAGACTGTTTTCTTTGGGATTTTGCTACAGATTTCTTAAAAGGGCATGTCCAGGCAAAAAAGAGCTTATACAGATTTTCAACCCATTTCTTTATAGCTTGCTTTGCTTGAAAATGTTAATTCCTGTACAAAGTTCATAAAAACGACAACAGGTTTTGGAAATCACCAGCAGAGATTGGATCACAACAATTAGCCCCTACTCCTCCAAAATCAATTTTTATATTCTCTCAAACAATTTTGGGCAAAGGTAAAATTATTTTTGATTCAAATAATATAAGGGGAAATAGCCCTTTAAAACGATCTGAGATTATTTCAGTGGAAGAATTTTATGAGTGCTTTCAACTAAACACTGAAGCTTTCTGAATAATAGGCAATTGTTTTGGAACACCAGAGCTTTTCTTCAACTTATTCATTTTCTTCACCTCTGCCCTTTATGATAACTTATTCATTATATAAAACCTCATTCTTGAGCAATCATCAAATATACCAAACTGCTACTCCATAAACCTCAATCAATGCCACCAAAGCTTAGTTGCATTTTATATTTTATATATTTTATTTCATATTATAATACAAAGTTGGCATTTATATTATTTTTATTTATATTATATTATTTCCATTTATTACAATGGAAATTAAAATTAAATTACAATTAGCTACTTTCCTGCTTTGCACACCAACACATGCTTAAACACATTTTTAACTTCTAAGGAGGAAATGTTTCCAGTGCTAAATAGAGAGCCTGAAATATCTTTTCTATTATAAGTTTTAAAAAGCAAAACAAACCTCTTTGTGAAGAATGAGTTTTCATTTTAGAAATACATTAGAACTAAAGTATTGCAATTGGTAATATGATCATTCAACTGAACACAATGAGGAGATGTGGCAGATCCATACATGGCAAGTCTCTGTTGTGGCAAAGTAGCTGATGAATCTGGGGCCCTGAAAAAAGTGACTTATGACTCTTTTTCACACTTATGACCATTGCAACATCCCTACATTCATGTGATCAAAATTCAGACGCTTGGTAACTAGCGTGTATTTATGATGGCTGCAGTATCCTGAGATCATGTGATCACCTTTTGAAACCTTTTGACAAGCAAAGTCAATGGGGAAGCCTGATTCACTTAACAAACGTGTTATTAACTTAATAACTGCAGCAATTCACTTAACAACTGTGGCAAGAAAGTTCATGAAAATGGGGCAAAACTCACTTAGCAACTGTCTCACTTAGCAACAGAACTTTTGGGCTCAAAAGTTGCTGGCTGAGGTATTCTGAGAGTTGCGGTCCACACATCTTAAAATGGTTACGTTTGGAAACACCAGGGCTTTTTTTCTCATAGAACAGTGATGGCGAACCTTTTAGAGACCGAGTGCCCAAACTGCAACCCAAAACCCACTTATTTATCGCCGGGTGCCAGGTGGGCATGGGCCACTGGATGGGCATGGCTGTGGTGGTCATGGCAGATTGGGTGGGTGTGGCCAAGCTGGGCGTGATCACCTCAATGTTGCTCGTGGGGAGGGACGCCTGTGGGGGCTGGGCAGGGTTGGGGGAGATCCAGGGGGTCTCTGGCAGGTGGGGCGGTGGGCAGGAGGCTCATCCTGCGGGGTGAGGCGAGGCAAGGCGGGGGTGCCATTGTCACAGGGCAAGGTGAGGCAGGGGCCGGGGGGCTGCTGCCTGACACCATCGGCCCCTGCACACAGAGGCCAGTGAGCGCATGGGTGCTGGGATGCATCCAGCCATGTGGGACCTCGGCGAGTTAGCGGGCAGCTAGTTGAAGAGGGATGGTTGCCATCTCTGGGGCATGGTGCGCGTGCCCACAGAGAGGGCTCTGAGTGCCGCCTCTGGCACGCGTGCCATAGGTTCGCCACCACTGTCATAGAACGTCCAAAACGGAGTTCCGGCACCTTTTTTGGATGGAACCCTGTAGGGTAGGCAAAGCGGGTTGTGTGACGTGTGTTGAGTTCGACACCTTTTTTTTTTTTTTTTTTTAGAAAAAAAGCATTGGGAAACACTGATGTAGAGGGAAGAACAGGCCTAGATATTTTTACGGATTCCATTTCGTCAGAAGTTCATACTTTGGTTTTATGCCATAAATGATAAAAAATAATTAACAACTGCAGTAGCAACATTAAAGCAATCCTTAAAATGGCAGACTGAAGGGAGGCGTCAAAATAGCTGGGAAAAGCCTTTTTTGATGAACTGAATACAACAATACTGAAATTTATCTGGCAAGGAAAAAAAGCTAGAATTAGACTGAAAATGCTACAAGAAGCGAAAAAAGTGGAGGATTTGGACTGCTGGATTGGATGTTATACTACCAAGCAACTATTTTAACATAGCTTAAATTTTAACATAGCTTAAATGGATAATGCTTAGAGACAAAAGACTATTATACCTAGAGGAGCATGACCTACAAATTGGTTGGCATGCCTTTCTGTGGCATGGGAAGAATAAAATACATAGATTCTTTCAAAATCACTTTGTAAGAAATGCACTTCTTTCAGAATAGGAAAAAATAAATGCAAAAATTTACATCAAGATACCTTGATGGCTTTCAACAATGGAAGCTTTTGCTTCCCCAAATTTAATTAATTACGGCAAAGTTGTGACCTATAAAGATATCTTGGACCAGGGCTTTTTTTCAGCCGGAACGCGGCGGAACCGCGTTCCGGCACCTTTTTCCGGGCCGGCCGCACCGGAAATAGCCCCTCCCACACCGGAAATAGCCCCTCCCAAATTTTACTTGCATTCCTGTTCTCTAAAGGGGCGGTCCTAGGGTTTGATGAGGGCGTGGCCAGGTTTGAGTTCCGCCACCTTTTCTCCAAGNAGAAAAAAAGCCCTGTCTTGGACAATGAAGAAAAATTGAAATACAGACAAGTTTTACAACAACAAGGTATTGATCTATCATGGTGGCCATATTTGCAAATCAAAATGAGATATGAAAAAAGATGCTAAAATAATGGGATTCTATAAAGAACAGACAGAATTTGACCAGATGCTGTTAAAAACAGATGAAAAGTTGATTAAGAAACTCTATAAATATCTGTTAAACTTAAAGATGGAGGAAGAACAAGTAAAAGAAACAATGATAATATGGGCAAAGAACTTTGGATATAATATAGAATTAGAAGACTGGCAAAAGTTATGGGAAAGAAATGTTAAACTAACTAAAGCAGTGGCATATAAAGAAAACTTATATAAAATGTTTTACAGATGGCATATGACACCATTGAGATTAGCAAAAATGTTTAAAAATATTTCAAATAAGTGTTGGAAATGCAAACAAAGATCAGGTACTTATCTGGTGGACATACCCTAAAGCAAAAAGATTTTGATTAAAAATACATTTATGGCTGGAGAAAATGACTAAAAAACAAATAGACTTTAAGCCAGAATTATTTTTGTTAGGAATAACAGGTGCAAATTATGAGAAAGATTGTATATATTTCATTTTACACATACTAACTGTAGCAAGAATTGTATTTGCCCAACATTGGAAAAATGAAAATTTACCAATTGAAGAAGAATTAAGAAAATTTTAGAGTGTGCAGAAATGGATAGAGTGACTTTAAAGATAAAAGAGAAAGAAGACTCAGTGTATTTTAGAACATGGGATCATTTCTATCAATGGCTAGAAAAACGAGTTAGAGAGAAAGGAATGTGCTATGTAGCTTTGAATATACAGTATATTAGCAAGAAGACTATCGAGCGATTAATTAATATATTGTTTATGATAATTAACTATTATTTTTTGTTAAACACATGAACCCAGACATTGTGCTAAATATTGAGAATGTTATTTGAAAAAATCCTAACCCCAATTAGGTAAGAACAGAAAGGAAACAGGTTTAAAAGGCCCGTGGGGTGTTGTCAGTTTTCTATTTCACATACTACTCCCTCAACACATAGCCTTCCATCTATAGGGCAGAAAAAAACCCCGCAATCATTTCCTGTGTCTTGATCTAATACTACTTGTATGTATCTTCCCTCTACAGATTAAGTGTGCTTGCTGCACAGACTTCAGAAGCAGAAATAGCACAGTCCTATTCCTGTTCCATTGTAGCCGGGCGCCATGCACAGCCCTGGTTCCTGGAAAAAAAAGACTGCATTCAGAGTTCAAAGGGTGCAATTCAAAATGCTCTCAGATCACACTATGGAGCAGCCTAGTTGGAATACGCAGAACTGATGTGATTTTTAAAAAATGACACTTGGGAAGACTGTGTTATGAAGCTTTTTCAGGTACTTAAAATACTACTCTTGTCACTTCTGTTTGCAATAAAGGTAGTCCTTGACTTCACAACCATTTGTTAAGTGGTCATTCGAGGTTACTGAAAAAAGTGACCTATGACCATTTTTCACACTTACGACTGTTGCAGCATCCCCACGGTCATATGTGATCAAAATTTGTGTGCTTGGCAACTGGAATGTATTTATGATGGTTGCGGTGTCCCGGGGTCCCGTGATCACCTTTTGCAACTGTGGGAAGTCAGCCCCCCAGAGAAGGAAATATTAAAAAGGGCAGGAAAATATATTTCCTGAAAGGATCTTAAAGAGGCAGAAAAGCATGCCCAATTTTCTTCTGAGCCCCAGGTCTCCCTCCCCCAAGCAGAAACTAGCTCT